ATGGCAATGTTGTAAATACTTGAAGATGATGAGGTTGAGAGAGTAAAAAGGCCATTTTCGAAAAAAGTAAAAAAAAAAATTTAATGGCATTTTCGTAAATAAAATGAACATGTGGGGTGGATAGGACAAAAACAAGATGAGATAAAAGAAGAAGTTAGTTTTGTGTTTGACCATGAGTTTTGAGTCAAATTTGCAAAAAACCCTTCTTTCATATCTGAATTCAACACTCATTTAATTTTTATCATCTCTAATAATTTTGTTGAAAAAAATTACAACACCATATCCCCCCAATTTTATTTATATTTTTTATTTTATAATAAAAATATGAGTTTCTTCTGTGTCCAAATGAAATGAAACAAATTTCTCTTTATAGAATACAAAAAAGATGAGTTTTGATATAAATTTTTTATATATATAATTACAATTTTATGAAATAATTGATGTTAAATAATTGAGATAGAAAAAAAGTTAGAAAATATAAGCATCTAATCAGTTTCATACACTTGTCTTCGTTTATCTACTTTCGTTGAAATTAAAATCTTTCGTTTATCTACTTTCGTTGGAATTAAAATCTCAGAGACAAACCTAATATTTTAATCCAAACAATATTTCAACGTTTTATAAGATGAACCCATTTTTGTTTTATAACGGTGTTAATAAGTTTCAACACTGATTTTGCCGCATCAGTTTTTTATTTTTTACAAAAAACTATTGTAAACTTATCAACATTTATTAAAATTTATTAACAGTTAATAAATTACCATTGTAAGTAGTCTTACTATGACTTATCTTGGGTATACATTTTAAATGATAACCAATAAAAATCAACCACGTCATATCTTGTTTATGAAACAATTTTTTTTTAAATAATATTAATTGCCAAATTAACATTTGATATAGTAAAATTCTAAACCCTTAACTTTATACCTCAAATTCGAGAAAATGCGAGATAAATGGATGCATTATCTTCAAAAGAATCTTCAGGAGTTACTTTAAACATCTGAAGTATTGCATTTTCAAAAACTATACTAATATGGAAGTTGACATCTCTTTAATTGTTTATTTATGGATTTATCATTTTTTTAAGAAAATCTATGTAGGGTTGTTGCGATAATTTATGTCATTGATACAGATTGGGGGTGGTATTATTTTGGATGTTTAAGTTGTAGCAACAAGAATGTTTATCCACATTCCAGAACCGTTAGAAATCCAACCAATTTTGGTTTCAGGCCTTTTCATTACTATTAATTTTTCAAATTTACTATGGGCCATGGACCCATCCAATTTTGAATTCACTTTAATATGTGTTTTAATTCTTCATACTCTCATTACACTTAATTTTATGATTCTCGGTTCAACCAAAAACTGAGTCGGTTATGCAAAACTCAAGGAAAAGACCCTACTAAAAGGTTAAATATACATCAAATTTCACATATAAAACTATCATATAATAGAAATCGAATCATTTGATATATTTTGTTTCAACCAAAAACAAAACTCGCGCTTCTCAAGCGTGGGTCAAAATCTAGTTTTACTTTTAAGTTATAACAAAATTAGTTGAGAAAAATCTAATAAAATCTTACGAAAATTCAAATATATATTTTATAAAATAGCACAATAATTAATTTCATAATTAATAATATAGTACTATTATATATTAATTAAATTTTTATTATCAAACAGAAATAAAAGTTCAATCATATTTTTATAATTCCCAAATTATATTCTATATTATATTAAAACATAATCACTCTATGAATTAAATAAAAATATATAAAGTTGGCAACTTAACTTTTTAGTTTTAAGTTTTTTTTTTCATTTAAGTACTATAGAATATTTAATATGACATATTTGTTTATTTACATTAATCAATAAAATATACACCAAATATGCTGAAAAAGAAAAGATTTAATCTTTATTTTTAGTTATAAAAAATAAGTTGAGAAAAATTCTAACAACATCTTACTAAAAGTTCAAATATATTTTTATAAAATAACACAATAATTAATTTCGTAATTAATAATATATTACTACTATAAATTAATATCAATTAAAATTTTACTATAAAAAATTACAATTCTATCATATTTTATAAATTCTATATTATAGTATCTATATTATTAAAATTGAAATACCTTTTGGAGTTGCTTGGACACAAGAATAACACATTAATGAGAATTGTTTGGTAACATGGATTGTAGATTAAATATTCTCTTTTATTTATACTATTAGCCATTGTATTTACAATAAATTAAATATGTTCTTTTTATATTTTCTTTTATTTACAGATTCTATCACTACATTTAAAATCAATTTAAACTAATTATTTGCTATGGATCTTATTTTTTCGTGGTGAAAATTAAAAACAAAAACGTAAATATATAGTGTATATTATATAAAACAACTATAGTATTACCTTATTTAGTTTAGTCATATATAAATATTTCAAAAGTTCAGTTTTCAAAAAAAAAATATCATAAAATTACTAATAATTCATAAAAAAACTAATGTAAAAAATTAAAAAAAATAGTATATTGTTTCATTTTAAAATAAAAAACAATATGTTTATATATGAACAGTACAATTGCATCAAGTTATAAAAATTTAATATAATATTATGTACAAATAAAAAATTATAATCAAACATCTCAATTATAAAATAATATATTCTACTTTAAATATACATGAGATTTTTATATAAAATCAGCATTTTGTGAATTTACGATGAACACAAATTAAATTAAACACCCGCGTGTGGGCGCGGATCAAGTTCTAGTGTTATATTTTTTTTTTTTTCCGTCAAAGTTTTGATATTAAAAAAGGGCCGGGCCCTGAACAGACAAATATCCCATACAGCAACAAATCACAAAGCCCAGCGGGCAAGAAAACCAAACAAAAGACAGATACACGGGTCATCGGCCCAAACCATCAAACCTACACGACCTAAACGGATCAAGACAAGGAAGCCGACACGTGGAGAAA